CGGCACAGTAGCTGTGTTCCCCACCTCTAGCTAACGTGTATGATGATGATGATGATGATGATGATGTGGCCAACCACAGGACGCCTGCGCTTACAGAGGGACCATGGGTGGCCTGCGCTGCACCACCTACAGCTCCATCCACACACCCCATATCCAGTGTAAACCCGAAGGAACAAGACCGGGAGGTATGTGGATGGAAGCCACGTTTCATCAACGGAGCCGACCCACACTCCTTCACAGGCAAACACAAGCACACTGTATTTGGGGAATCAAGCGCACACAAGGCGATGGCTGGACCGTAGTCCGCTCCACACTGAGTGCATGGAACCGCTATTTGAGCCTATCACGGCCGCAAGGACTGTGCACCCCGTCCCCTCCTGCAATGACCAACTGTCTCATAGAGCTAGTATGAACGAGGTAGTGGGTAATAGACAGGTAGGCACCTTGTCAACATGCACATCAAGCGCAGCCACACCGGGGATATCAAGCAATAACCATTCACTTGAAATGACAAACTAAAATAAAGTAAATGTAATAATGCATAAAAATACGGTGGCATAACTCTTCGCTAAATTACCACATGAAATAAGTTGGTTAGCAACGAATCAGCGATAAGTAAGAAATGTCCACAAGTTACTAAAAATGCTACAAACGCAACGAACTTACCGAAGATAAGCGCAATTTGCGTACGCAACATAGCTAGTGAATAGAAGATTATTCAGGTAGTCAGAACAAACCAAAACCCTCTGTCTTGTGATCAGCTTTATGAATCAAAGGCTTTGGGTGAGTACCTTAGTCGCTGTGCTGTCTAGGTCTGGACAACCTGACAGTATCTTGCCCACACAATACAATGACTTTACCTTAACACAATTTCTTGATATTCTGGTCTGGCGCTCCATCTGCTGCATTGCGCAGTGTGATGAGGGTTTGGTATGCTACTGCTCTAGCCTTCCGCGTCTTCTTTCTTTGCTTGCACTCGCAGCCTTATCGTCCCGCGCCAACTTTATTTATATCTCATATGTTTCCCACCCCCAACTCTAGGCACAGCGCCATACTGATTCAGTAATCATTTACATAAAAGTTTCGAATCACACGCATTCGCAAGGCGTCGCTCCGGTCCAGTCGAAAAGTGCATATCCGACCACGAAACAAAGTCAGTTCATCTGCTTCTCTTTGTAGCCACCAGCTTAAGACTGGCGTGCCTCAGTGCAAAGACTTTGATGGAGATTTGCAACAGGCAACACTGGAGACCCTATCAAACGATGTTTGCTGCTTATCAGAATCTGGCTCGCAACATACGCGTTCTCTGGTTACCCTCCGATATCCAACGCGCAACATTGGTGGTGTTTACTCACTGCGTTTGTTCGATAACTCGGCTTAAATTATCGTTCAGGCCAGTGTAGACGTTACTCTGAACGTTGTCCCAAATATGCCCCGATCGATTGGATCCTAGTCAGAAGCTAAATGTGCGCTGTCAGATTGACTGGCTAGTTACAGCACCGAAGTCGCGTAGGGACAAACGCTACCTGTTTGTCATTGCGAACCACAGACCCGCATATTTTTGTCTTTATTCCGTTAAAGTTTATCACAATTTTAACGTGCTCCTTCGTTATAGAAAAGGTATGGATACTGCAAGGCTTGTTGGTGATTTAGAGGCCGACTGATGAGCTCCATCTAGGCGGCAAATAAGATCTAGGCTCTCTTAAGGGTAACGCTGAGCGATTACTGCAATTTAGTAAATATGCTAACTTATTTCTCTCGTGCACTTACTTCTGACACAGCACTCGTCGAAGGGTGACATGGCGCCCATCAGCCTTGGAAGCAAAGTTATCACCTTACGAGCAGTTTCCGCTGTAAAGAATGTGTCCAAAACTGTCGCTCGATCTGCGGTACGAGCGTGGGGTCTGACCATGCGATTGTTTGCTCCGACCTGCGGGTGCATTTCGGCGGACATCCGCAACGGCACGGTGAGCGCAAATGTACTTGCCAACTAACGAAGGCGGACGTTAAGTATGATGATTAAAGTACGTTGAGTAAGCGCTCACTGAACACAGCTCAAGCTCACTAATCGCATTTCCGCTAGATGTTATTGGCAGCACGCATAACTTCATGCATCTAATCAAATTGCCAAATGAGATACTGAGTCTCTACGCGGTCTCTTGAAATACTGAGTGCTCAAAAACGTGCTCCAGCAGAAGCGAGTGCAATGAAGCTCACCAATATCTTAGGGCGAAACTGCGTGCTAGTCTGAAGAGTGACCGCGATACCTGGTGGTCACATCGTGCGGTAGAGATGGAGACAGCCGCTGTCCTTGGTAACCACCGGAAGTTATTCCATTTGATAGGTGAAAAAACAACAGGAGATTTGGTGTTTGCTAGAGCATCCGCGGCGAGTGTGACCAGTTGATCCACAACTTGTCAAAGCAATTAGAGCTTTGGGCCGAACACTGAGAAGCAGTTCATTCAGTCAGATTTGCCGGCATCTCCATCGGCCAATGATCGTCCTAAACGTGCGCCATCTCTGTGGATCCGGCCTTAGGGGCAGAAATCGAACGTGGGATTAGACTGCGGAAAATGAGCAAGGTCGCTGAAATAGATGGAGTTCATCAGACCGTCTTCTAAATTGGGAGACCTGCTCTTCTGGTGCATAGTGCATAGATGACAGTAGTAAACTGTCAAAGCAACTGGAGCTGCTGCGTTATAGTCCCAAGTTTCAAGAGAGGTTCCCTTCTAGAATGCAGCAGTCCCAGAGGAATTAGTCTGATGTCAATTGCCTCTGTTATTTGGCTATGTTTCCTCCAAAGCAAGCCAGCTTCCGTTGGTATTGAGGATGCATTGATCGCATCTTCAACTTACATCTGTTTTTGGAGCCTTGCAATGTTTATCCTCAACCCGCCGTAGTCGTGCTAATAGATAGCAAAGGCGCCTTTGATTAGGATGATGGATGTGTTCATTCGACACTCTACTTGCGAGAGGTGTGCCCGAGGAACCACGAACATCAGAGTGTTTTACGTGCATAGTTCAGGCATAGGGAGTATTAGATCAATCTTTCGCTGCACATCAATATATCAAGCAAACTGAAACGCCGTTTCCCGATATCACCTTCTTCTTTGACTTCGTTATTAAAGAAGTTATGTAAACAGCGTTTGCTAGAAACGACTTCCAAGGCATGGAGCTGCTTCCCGGTGATACTTCAAGGCAGGATACTTCCTGCCTTGGAGTATGTCTACGACATTGCCCGATTCTATGACAGCGCCCAAAGGTTTCAATCAGTCATGGAGAGATAAACACTAGCTGTAAGTCGTTCTGGGCTATGCTAAGCACTCTCAAAATACTACGTCGTTCTCCATGATTGGCAGCGACCACCCTAGCGCTGACCCTTAGCGGCGATCAGTTAAAATTCCTACAGGCATTTAAGTAGATTGGCAGCTATATTAGCAGCATGAGGTTGAGTATGAGATCACGAATCGTATAGCGAAATCCGGAGGCGCTTGTACCAATTTCCGCTACATGTGGCGTCGGCGCAACATCAAACTTGCCCTGAAGGGCACAGTTTACAAAAAGCCGCCAGTTCAACCCTCTTGTACGAGTAGCAACACGAGCCTATCAAACCGAGAGAGATAAAGACGCTTACTAGGTCCCCTCTCTGCCAAGTTTGCAACTTCGCTGATATCTGGTGGGAGCACTTCGTGAGCAATGGGCATGATCGGCGTCTCGTATTTGTTGCAGGAAGACTACCGCTCAGCACCGTTATATCACACTCCAGGGTTGATGGTTGGGGCAAGTATTGTACATGTCAACACATTTACTCTGAGTCGTGCGTAGTTTGCGCGTCCAGATTCTGGATGGAAGAGAATCAGGGAGGTCATGTGATTACTTGTTCAAGAGAAATGACACACTCGAAGTTGGCGTCGGTTGCAGCGTACCGACTACCTGGTTAGGTTACCAAGGGCGATGAACACGTTTGGTTAGATACACACGCCGACATGGCGAATAGCCGACCTCAAGGGTATTTATGTTGTGAGTATCTGTGAACCGCTTTTCTGCGTTAACATACTCCCAAAACTAAGATCTTAAATCAAATGCATAATATGATACCTTGTATTAGCTTAGGTTTTTAGGTTTTGTAGCCCGTAATGTTTAATCTCTTATCATTTTTATTTTTCGGCACATTAGCTAAGGTGTCTTTCACTCAAGAGTATTGTGTATTGATGAGTGATGATAAAATAGCGTTTTACAGTACTGAAGGATCAGTTCTCTGCAGAAATCGCTGCATAAAGCCGCTTGAATCTAACAATAAATATACGCACTTAGCCAATTTGGGTTGCAAGTTGCCATTGTTCAGCCAGGTACATAATGTTGATGCCTAGGTTCATAAATTGTTCGCACGCTAAAAACTTATTTTATACTCATCTGGACCCACTGTAGCATGTTAGTAGTCTTATTCTGACAGTGTTAGTAGATCAAGTTTATTAAGAACAAGTACTTCATATGTCTAAACAGAGCAATTTATTTTAAAGGAACAGTAACCACGCTTCCTAGCACAGAGAATTAGGACACAGTGAACGAACAATAGCAAGATTCTGAATTCCTCACCTGATATCATGTTAAAAGAACACAACCATAGTCTTTTTTTATTCCGTAGGTTACATAAGCATTACAGCTTTGTATCGGTCGTCAACTGCCACGATTAATTCTGCTTGTCGTAACTAGGATCCTCCCACATGACAAAGTAGTGAGACGTGAGTATTTTACCACATATATACTTGTTCAAAGGCTAGTTCAGCCAAGATAAATCATATTCAGCAGAACAAAAGTAACCCATTTGTGAAAGTTATGTACTGTGCACTAAATCCGGTAGTATGTTATTGGCCTAACTTAATAAAAGCAATAAACAACATTGCTGGCTACTAGATGAAAATTAAACGCTTATATTTTATCTTCATATGACACTGTTGTTCGTCCTGGTAACAATAGTTTTAATATCTTTTTTCTTTTCAGTTTCGGCAAATTACGAGTGAGTACTTTGTCGTTGACACGAATGAGAAACAGCATCATGAATAGTGTACTACAGGAGAAAGAATAGCCCACTGTGTCCCTTGTAAAGGCTGGCACGGAGGATGCTATGGGCAACAATACCAAAATGCTTTTGCCTTCAGTTTTGCATGCGCTTTTATCTATATGTTTTCTTAAAGTCACGCAATCTTCGCAGCCAGGTTTTATCAGTTCACACCCAAGAAATCATAGTTTGAATGTGGTTTAAAAATTTGAATGGGTAATGTAACCGGCACAAGAGACGTTTTCATTTTAAGCCACATATGGTATGCTCCGAGAAAGCAACGACATGAAATGCCAACATACCAAAAGTCCAGCATATACAATAACCCTATACTTGCGTAAGATATCAGCGTGGGTCTGTGTGACGAGAGTGCCATATCAGGATGAAATGTTGGATCAATCGAGCGAGCCAGACAGACAATGGGAGACGGGCGTTACGAATTCGATTACTTGCTTGCCAGGCAGAAACCGATAATAATGTGCGGTATCCATCTGTGTTTAGTTCGGCTTTGGAGACATGTTATGGAAGCACATACCTGCCGTTAGATCCGTTGCTACGAGCGACAGCGTTACCGGCCAGAATAGTTACAATTACGTTGCGTGCAAGGCTTTGCGCCGAAATGAGCAAAGTAGTGTGAGAGCATATGATTACGAAGTCTGAAGAGAACCGACTGGCTTATTCAGGTCACAATCATTGCAAAGAACACGGGAGAACTCCGCATATGTATTGACCCAGCACCGTTAAATAAAGGGTTGCGTCAAGAGCGCTAAGCGCTACCTTCCCTAAGATACATTTGGCTGCGTTTGGCCAAAGCGTTCTGCGTTCTGCATTCTGCCAGGTGTTACTAGATGAAGAATACAGTATCATTGCTTCCATTGCGGCACCATTCGGGAGTTAGCACTGACTGGGTTAAACGATGGATTTGAAGGTATGGATGGAATTTTTCGAAAAGGACTGGTGCAAACGGGGGACGATTTAGATAGTGTAACTTGTATGGCAGAGGTAGTTTGCTTAATGGCTCGACGGATGAAATGCACAACCCTAATACGCACCGCTTCCTGCAGTGTTGTGTGCATCAGACGAGGTTATTTTTCATGGACACATGCTAACAATCGAGCTAATCAGTTTCGATGCAGGAAAGGTTAGAGCGGTATGAGAGATGCGGCCTCCTAACAACGTCAATGCAATCCATCGTTTAAACGCTATGGTGAATTATTTGAGCCATTTTAATGCAGGACTACCTGATATAATGACGCTGCTCAGGAAGCTAACTCACAAAGAAGTAAAGTAGTTGGGAAAACGAAAAAAAAATTTAAGCATCTTATCAGTGGCGCGCATGCACTCGGATTGGAGTGTCATATCACATTAACTGGATGGAACAATCGAGCAAGCAAGACAGAAAATGGGAGACAGGAGTTATGAATTCGATTACTTGATACGGATTGGCTGACCTTCGTGTGGGTTACTCTCCGTATCTGTAACTGAGAAACATCATAGGTTCAGAAGTATAGTTTGTTATGGATGTGAACATGCAACGTGTATCAAGGGGTTTGGCTCACCAACTATGCTGTATTTTGCGCTGAGTAAACG